AGCAATCCTACTGAGAAGCCTGATAAATTGCGAAGCTCACAGATTATTATTGTGAGTGCATGGTGGAGGCCTTGAAGACAGGTAGACCTGAGTTCAAATCCTTCCTCTTCCACACAAGGAACTCAGAGACCGCCTAGTCTATCTGCTCGCCATTTTATAGATGGGGAAAGTCCACTCTAAGCAGCCCAACTTATACATACACACACACACACACACATACACACATGTGTATAGATATAGATATAGATATGTGTGTGTATATATACAGATATATATGTGTATATATAGACGCAGATATGCCATAAAAGTCAAGCTTTCCAAAGTCTCATTTCAAGCAGAGTTATACATTTAAATAAAAAAGTTATACATTTAAGAGAACTGGAGGCAGAATGAGATGGGACACAGAAGGGAGGAAGAAAATTAGTTGGCCTGTCTGTTTTACCAGTATAAAAATTAGCTTGAGTTGAACAAACCCCAGAAACTTTCTTTGCTACTAAACAGCTTTCTAGAAACTCTGGGATCCCTGGTATAAATCAGTTCCCACTTTCTCCAGTCTACACATCTCCCTGTTTTTCCTTCTCCCGGGCACATTGGCTGCCTGACAATGAGCGACTTCATTCCCAAATCAAACTAATCGGTGGGAACCCATTTCTTAGCCAAGCTGCAATCGACTCAAGGAAATGGAGACAGCCTTGCCCAGTTTACAATCTCAGCCATCAATCCAGACAATTGCTAGGGAGACTCAGGAAAGATGCTTTTTGAGTCAGTCAACATTGTAGCAATCTTGGCTGACCCAGAGAAAAAAAGAGAAAAAAAAAAAACCAGAGCTTGGGCACGACTGAAACGCAGCCCAACTCCCCTGCCTGCAAATGCAATTAAGGGGCAAATAAACATCCCTGCATAATTATGACTTCCCTATGAAGCTGCCAGCAGCAATTGCGTTCCTTCAGCTTTTCATGATTAAAAAAAAAATGGTGAAATGTTCTCAAATCTCAGCTTTTAAGACCTAAGTAAAATGTGCACTCATCAGCAAAATGGCAACATTAAAGGTTGAATCCCCAAAAGACCTGGGGATTCACTGATCTTGTCTACTCTTTTGAATACATGAGTTTCCCCTTTGGTTTGATCCACACTACTTAAAATATAGCACATATGCCTTCATTTAAATATAGCTTCTTCTCTCTGATGCCCAGAGGCTGAGGTATCTCTCCTGTGAGGGATCTTCTCTTGAATGCTATGGAAAGCTGCTCACCAAAATCCCTGGACACCTTCACAGCAAGTATGGTAGCATGTCTCTTAAGCCAGATTTAGACAAGCAGACAAATTAGCCAGCGCTTGTGACTGAGGCTGCTTCTACACCAAGGTACATTAAGTGCATACTTAATTATAAATGATTTCATCCTGGATGTAATCCACAAAGATGCCTTAATCTACCTTCATGAAAATTCCCTTGCTGTCTGTTTAATGCTGTAGGGAAATCTCACAGTGGGACTCCTGTTAAATAGATAAAAAGGGACCTTTGTCAGATAAACACAGATCTTATAGAAAAGCCTACATATGTAGAGATGGGGCAGCCGCTTTGGCTCTGGATAATACTGGCTGGAACACAGAAGGAACAAGATGGGATGCCCAGATGTTCTCTATGGTGATGGCTGGACAGCTCTCTGTCTCTGACAGCACAGAGCAAAAAGGCCATTTGGAATCCAACCTATCTTGTCCCTCAACCCTAATTCTCCACCTGGTATCCCAAAATTGCCAACAGACAACACTATGCTATTGTATTCTATGCTGATGTTTACATAGTGCTTACTATGTTCCAGGCACTGTTCTAAGTGCTTTACAATTATCATCTTATTTGATCCTCACAACAACCCTAAAGGTGGGTGTTATTATTATGCCCATTTTGCAGATGAGGAAACTGAGGTAAACAGAGGTTAAGTGATTTGCCCAGGGTTATATGGCTAGTAAGTGTCTGAAGGTATCGCTTTTCAAAGTAGGTTTGAGATAAAATGGTGATGTAGATGGAGTTCACTTTCAATGTCAAATCATCATCATCATCATCATCATCATCATCATCATCATCATCATCATCACAATAGAACATTTATACAGCACTTACCACATGTCAGTCTTTGTGCTAAGCATTTAACAAGTATTATCTCGTGGGAGGTAAGTGCTATTACCATCCCCATTTTACAGAGGAGGAAAAACGGAGGCAGTCAGAGGTTAAGTGTCTGAGTCCAGATTTGAACTTAGGTCTTCCTGCCTCCAGGCCTGGTACTCCATCTGCTTCGTCACCCTGCTGCCCCAACGTCCTTAGCTACCCAATACTCCAATACTCCTCCTGGCTGTGGCTCCCCATCCTCCCTTGCCCTCCCCAGTGGAGCTTTATGATCAGTAGTGTCAAATTCAAATAGAAATAGGGGCCGTTGATCCATACCTAAGGATCTCTACAGGCTCACATTGACTTGATTTTTAAAAATGTAATGTCATCTATGCTTTATTGTATTTTTTATTAATTTTGTTAACTATTTCCCAAATATATTTTAATCAAGGTCAGGCAACACTCAAGACTGTTGGGGGCCAGAATGCAAGGGTTTGACACCTCTGCTTCAGACTTTTCCTTTCAACTTCCCCCTCCATGCCCTCACCAAAACTTTTCAGTCCTGTGTCCCATTCCCTCTTCTCTGCCAGCTGTTCTGGTAAACCAATTCTTAATAAATTAGGATGCATAATTATTATAGTAGTATTACTGAAATATTAGTGGCAGAAAGTGGCTTATTGTATCACCTCCCAGAAAAATATCTCCAGTTTGTCCAAGCCCTTCAGCGCCTTCACCTTAAGAAGGGATTGTACTGAGGAAGAGATAATTAGAGATACAAGAGTTTTCCTACCCAGCCCTCCCTCCACTCAAGTCATATTGAATAGGCATGCTGTGCCTATGTGTGGGGCCATACTTTTGCCCCTGGTACTGGCACAAGTGTGTCTCTCTCACACACATCTGTCTGGAAGCAGCCTGGGAAGATTGACATGATTAGGCAATTATTTTTAACCCTAGGTGAAAGGCCAGAAAGAAGGCTTGATGGTCGCTGAGGTCTCTGCCAGGGGGCCCTGATCTTATGATTCCTCTGATCCTATGGGGGCAACTTTTGTCCCTTAATCCTCAAAATATCCCACAAAAGCATTCCCACATGCAGTTGGAGGTGGATCTCCTTTATAGACAGAAGTAAAAAAGCCATGAGTACAGCTGTTTCATCTGGTCTCAAACTAAGCTTGGGGGAGAGGGGGTAGGGGAAGTCACAGGTAGGAAGAGTTTCCATCCCACTGAAAACATACTTCGTTGAGAGAATGGCTTCATTTGAAAGGTGAGCATTCAACAGTGTGGACTGAAAGTGAAACACATCTTCCCCCATTCAAAAGTATTGCCTGGTTTAAAATGGCTTATCTTAACAGCTGAGTTAAAAGAGACCAAAATCAGACTGGATCTCTAAGCACCTCATGTCTAGTAACTTGGGTTTTTTTTTTTGAGCTATTCTCCCCCACCCTCAAAAAACAATCCATGAGGAAGATATGAAGCTTAACTGCTAAGGTAAAGAGAAATGAATCTGACTACTTCCCCCCCCCCCCACCCTTCCTTAAAGGGAAAGGTCAAGGGGAGGGGGCAACCAAGGCATCAGAAGTTGTCTTTTATGGGATGTGAAAAACACAACTGGCTAGAGCTTTTATTTTTATTTCCCAAATAGGGGCTCCCCACCTTATTAGCATGGGTCTGCTTTTGTGTCAGGGACACAAAGCCAGCCCAGTATGCAGCTATTTATGATGGGTCTCGCTAATTCCTGTCCAGCATTGATGGATGGCTATGCCTATCAATTACATATTTATAAGGTCTCCTACTCTTGTTTCTCAGATACAGAAGTTAAGTGCTCCAGAGCTGTTTAGGTTATGCTCAGTACCACGAAACAAAGACAAGGGAGCTGCCAGACTCATCTGAACCAGGAACAAAAGCACTTAGTTTCTGAGACAGTCAGGAGTTACCATATAAATGTGTCCACAGTACACACATCAGCTGGGAACCTAAATGAGATGACATGAGGGGAAACACACACACATACACACACACACACACACACACACACACACACAACTGGAAGGAAACACTAAGGACCAGAACAGCACTTTTCCAAAGATAAGTATTGGAAAGCAGAGTCCCTTAAATAAAGACTACTGGGGAGTGGAGGAAGAAAGAGATGGGGAGATGGGGGAAATGGTCCCAACTTTGGAGGAAATGCCAGTTGATTTGCTCATTCATTTCATCAGGAAAGACTCAAGGGAGAACTTGCTTTTCAGTTTAGATGATAGAAGTCAGAGTTGAAAGTTTGTCGATCCCCCCCCCCCAAACTTCCCACAACTGCTGTGAATGTCTCTCTCTCCAGATGCTCTGGGCTCTGACAGGACAGGAGAGAGGCTCACTCGGCCCCACGGCACAGCAACATAGCTCCAGGCCTGGCCTCCCTGTGAAAGTCAGCGTTAAAGGAACACTAATAAGAAACATATGGCTACTGAAGATCCTTTACACAACAGTCGGTGGTGGATTTGTGGTCAGAACAAAACCCGTCAGAGGCTGAAATGAAAAACACAATAGGAAAACTCTCAGCTATTCCAGCGGAGAGCAGACATTCTGCACCGAGGCACTTTGGAAAGACAAACCAGGCTGCAAAACGAAATTCTGTAAGGAAGGAAAGGCGTGTAGTAGGGGCCAAAACACACAGCGAGGAAGAGACCAGCAAGGAAGCTTTTGCATCAAGCAAGGTAAATTCTGCCTGAGTGAGGCTCCAAGGTATCCTCTTGTGTCTAGCCACCTTTGATATTTGTAACAGATGTATTTCCACTTTTAAAGTAACAGCCTTTACATTCTTTCCATGTAACTCAAGGGTGTGATTTTTTTTTTTTTCAGGGTGTCAGTTTTCCCTGGTGGGAAATAAGATTCAACTGCTTCCTACCTCCATTTATGCAGAGCAAACCCAGGGCACTGGTCACCGCAGGCATTGCAAGGCTGTCCTCTTTCAGGCTCACCCAGTCCAGACAACTTCAAAACAAACAAACCAAAAATCAGACATATGGAAACAGGCAGCCTGACTTCAAACATTTCACATCACTGATGACTGGACAAGATGGAGCCGTGTCAGTGCACGGTACATAGTAGGTACTTAATAAATGCTTGTGGATTGGTTGATTGGGGTCTGGAGAAAACCAAACTCTTTGATCCCCTCGGGGATGCCATGGCAAATGGATGGAGAGTTCCTTCAAGAAATAACTTGGGGTGTGCCCGCTTAGAGGGAGCCTTCCTTCCTGGTAAAAGACAGGGCCACCACCTGGGGTGGTGGGGCGGCTTTCGGAGCAAGCAGGCTAATAAAGGGCCAACCCTGCAGCTTTGTCTCCCTGTACACCTTAGACAAGCGTTTCTGAGAAACAAAAGCAAGACCTTTGCCTCGCCTTGCAGAATCTAGGAGAAGGGATTCCCCACCACCGCCTTGGCCACTCTAGCCGAGGTGGGGGGTGGGGAGTGGGGTGGAGAGACAGATTCCAATAGGGGTCCCCTCTCACCAAATCCCTGGACCAGTTAATCTCTTCATGCTGCTTACTAAAGAAACCAAGGGGAGGTGGTTGGATACTGCTCTGGTTGGGTTGTTCGGGATTCCCTCCAAGGATAGGGACATCTGGGGCAGCCTCTGCCAAGGGGTCAGAGCCCCAGCCGCGGGGGAGGAGGCAGTGGTGCCCACATCTCCCCAGGGCACTGGTCACTCGGAGACCTGAACCTGGCAGCTCCGCCCTAGGATGGGCTACGGGGGGGTGGGGTGGGGTGGAGGTATTTTTAACCCCTAGGGCGCAGGGAAGGGTTCATGCCCTCTGCGCCCCCCACCCCGGCACCATGGGGCTCTCACCTGGGGGCACAGGTGTTAGATCGGGAGGAGGGGGGGGAAAGGGAGGGCCTGGCTCTGGGTCCGAGCCCGGCCGGGCCGGGACCGAGGGGGCGGGTGGTGGCCGGCAGCTACTCACGGATCTGCTGGAAAGCCTTTTCCGGGAGCTCCGGCTGAACATGGCAGGGCGCCTTCCTTCCGCGGCCAAGCCTCCCTCGGGGCCGCCGCCGCTGCTGCTGCCGCTCGGTCCCCGGGGCAGGACGAGCCCAACTCCTGCCTGCCTGGGTCCAGAGGAGGAAGCCCGAGCCGCCGCGCCGCGCCGCGCCGCGTCGCGCCGCACCGCGCTGCGCTCGATCCTCTCCGCTCCGAGCTCCTGCTCTCAGGTCGCCGTCTCGCTCGCGCTCCACCGCTCTCAGCTCAGCTCTGCCCGGCTCGCCTGGCTCTCCGGCTCTCTCGCTCTCTCTCCTGCTCACTCCCTCCCTCCTTCCTGCCCGCCTGCCTGCCTGCCCTCCCTCTCCCCTCGCTCGCTCTCCCAGGTCCCTCCCTCTCCCGGCATCCCCCCGCCCGCCGGGCTCCCTCCTTTCCCTGGGCTTCCCCAGCTCTGGCTCAAGACTGCTCCCCGCCCTCTGTCACTTTCCCCTGCGCTCCCTCTCTATGCCCTCCTCCTGGGGTCCGAACCTCTCGGGACCTGGCCGGGTCTAGTCCTCCCTGCCTCCCCTCTGAGAGCTCTCAGACCCCTCCCCAAGGACTCCCCCTCCCTCCCTCGTTCTCCTTCACGTCCCCCTGTCCCCACTCTCTCCGTGTTCCTCCCTGGTCAGATGGACATCTGAAGTTTGTGCCCGTGGACGCGTCCCCCCAGAAGCTGCCGGCCCCTTAGGTGAGGAAGGCAGGACTCTGTCTCTTTCACTGCCTGGAAACATAAGAGGTACTTAATCAGATCGATTCAGCCATTGATTAAAAATCCCCGAATTAGAGATTAGGAAGGTACCTCCGCAGCCATCCTGTCCAATCTACACCCAAAAGAGCCCCCCCCCCCACTTTAACAAACCCAGCACAGGGGCCTGAGACTCCCTGACTGGGGTGGGGGAAATCAGAGGGAGGAAAGGAGAAAGGTAACTCCAATACAGATCAGTAAATGAACTTTCGCTCTGGGGTCAAAGGATCTGGGCTCACATCCCACCTCTGTCGCTGTGTGACTGTGGCCAAAGCACGGCTCTTCCCTGGGCCTCGGTTTCCTCAGCTGTAAAATAAGGGGCTTAGATTAGATGTCTTCTGAGCTTCCCTCCCAGCTCTATGATCTAGGATGTTATGACGACCCCCAGATACCCTGGTGACATCCCTTCTTGGTCAGAATGATGTCAAAGTGACTATACAGACACAAGGTAGTTCCCACTTGGGACAAGAATACATAGAATGCAAAATACCTTTACAATAGGTGTCTAAGGGGAGAAGGGACAAGAGAAATCTACGTATTTGAATCAAACACATTGTCCAAGAGATAGGTGAAGTAACAAAGAAGGCAAATGTGACTAGGTGGATAGAGTGCTGGCCCTGGAGTCAGGAGGACCTGAGTTCAAATTCAGCATCAAGAACTTACCAACTGTTTGACCCTGGGCAAGTCACTTAACCCTGTTTGCTCGGTTTCCTCATCTGTAAAATGACCAGGGAAGGAAATGGCAAATCACTCCAGTATTTGTGCCAAGAAAAGCCCAAATTGAGGTCACAAAGAGTTGGACATGAATGAGCAACAGTGTAAGGTGACATATGGGAGAGGAAAGGGAATAAGCATATACACATATACATATACATAAAAATACACACACATACATATATACATATGTCTACTGTGTGCTCAGCACTTTAAATGTACCTTATGATGAATGAGGTCCTATTGTATAATGTCTTTTTTTCAGAGTTTGGAGGAATTCTTGTAGTCCTGCAGGCCACACTGCCCCCCTCGACCCAGGAAGTCTTCTTACATCCATACTTTGATGGGTTGATGTGAGTGCTCCTTTGTAACCTACAAGCACCTTCTCTTCCTATGTTCATGCTCTCTCATAAGTTTTTCACAGAGGATTCATCCAATGCATTGAGATCCTTCCTCTAAATCTCTTGATGTGTGAAGACCAATATAGCAGGTGGACTGTCCATCTGGTAACCCTCCTTCCAGCTCTGTCTAAGGGAGAAAGGCTCACCTCTTTCTCCAATCACACATGTCCCTGATGAAAATATCCTTCCTGCAGTGGAAACAATTCTTCATATAATTCAATTTAAGAAGCATTTCTTAAGTGCCTATTAGGAGTTTGGTATTAGGAATAGAGTGACAATAAAAATAATCCCTGCCCTTGAGAAGCTTTCGTTCTGCTAGGATGTGAGTGGATATGTTTGAGAATGGAATTTATACATAGATACTACAAAGCAATGAGGTGAAGAGCATGAAAAAGAAAAAAAGAAGATGAGTAGGAAAGGCTAGAGTACGAGGGGACCCTGAGCTAAGCTAAAACCTGCTGACCTCCACAGGACTCCAGACCCCTTGAAGCAACTATTTAATTCACCTAATAACAAACAAACAAACAAGAAACAAGACAAGATATTTCCAACTTTGGGTCAAAAACAGACCAAACCTGTCGTCTCTTCAGGGTTGGTGGCATATGAGCCCAGCTTTGACTGTTGCTCATCATTGTAATCCTTGTGCCTTGCATACAGTAGATAGTTAATACATGTTTGTTGATTTGAATTGCAGGAATGCATATGGTCCATTGGGGTGGTGTTTTGCCTTTCTTTCTTTTTTAATGCATCCTTCATACAAATCACATCTTCTTAAACTAGGTAAAGCTTTCTGCATCTTGCACACCCCCATCAGATGTCTGTGATATGTCTTCACAATACTTTCTAAAATGGGAAAAAGGAGCACTCAGTCTCAATACAGCCAGCATCAAACAGGGATGGTATCTTTCAATCACCTGGTAGCCACAATTCCAGTTAGCATTTTGGAACCCAATGACAGGAGACAGAAGAAGAAGATTAGAAGGGAAGATACTGTTGGTATGCCAAGCATTTCACAAAGGACTGACTCATCTTAAATCCCTGGTTAAATAAAGAAAAATACACAAAACATAAATAAATAGAATATATAAAATAACCAAAGGCAATATATCCGGTGGCATACTCTATACATTTCATCCACACACACAATGACTTAAAAACACATTGAATGGTTTTCCACACCCTGTGACTCTCCATTCTTGGTCAGCAATACATTTGGGGAGAGTGAGAAGCAGTGGGAGAGAATATAACATTTTGAATCCTTCCTCCCTCCCTCTCAGGGTCCTTTGCCCTCCCATCCCTCTGCTTTGTTTCTCCTTCACCCTCCTCCCCTTCCCCCTCTTCACCTCTCTCCACCCTCTTCTCTTTTCCCTCCAGCTCCTCTTCCTTCTTGGCAACCCTGCTCAGTCACTGTGACTGGTTTAGGTCATGGCTGCTGCCAGATGGATACAGGCCATGAAAACCTGAGAGGGGCTGGTCTCTTCCTTCGGTGCTTCCCCCTTTTCCAAGTCTAGGAGGAGCGAGTATTTATGGGAAATAAGGTTTGTCACTGGAAGTGAGCTAATTAGGTATCCAACTAGCTGGAGTGGTTTGCTAGGAGTTAATGTTTGCCTCCCAGAAGCTGAAGTCTGATACTAGCAGAGAAACGACATTTGACGTTCATAGAATTGTTGGAAGAGGAAAGGACCTTTGAAGTCATCCAGTCTAATCATACTCACTTTACAGATGAGGAAACTGAGGCCCAGGGGGGAAAGGACTTTCCCATGGTTAAACTACTCATTAGTGGCTGAGACAGAACTAGACCACATATTTCCTGACTCACAGCCCAATATGGTTTCTACCATTAAAGATATATATATGTATATATATATATATAACATAAGCTTAAATATGCTATGTGGAAAAGTCAGAGGTTCATGAGAAATTTGAGGATGGAAACCTTATTTTTAGCCAGGGGATTAGGAAAGACTAATGGGAGAGATGGTGCCACCTGAGCTGTTCTCTGTGTAATTAAACTGAAAATCAGTAATTAGAACTCAGCAAGTCATAACCTCTTGATTTTGTTCATTTAACAAATAGTAACTGATATCTCCATGGCACCTTATATGAATTTTCTCATCTGAGCCTCCCTGTAGCCTAAGAGAGAGATAGCACAGGAACGATTGTTCCCCTCTGGCAAATGAAGAAACAGAGGTTTCGAAGAGGTTAAAGGACTTACCCATGATCACATAGGTCATAGGTGTATGAGGTAGGATTTGAACCTAAGTCTTCTCAATTCCAGGAATAACTTTATCTGAGAAGCCACCCTGCCCGTCATATATTTATTAAACACCCAGGACACACAAGGGAGTCTGTCAGATGTCAAAGATAGAGAGATGAAAGAGAGAGCCTCTTCCTTCAAGGAACTTAGCAAGGGTGATGAGACATGAAGCACCTTAAGAAATATTGGGATATGCTCTGTGGAGGAGTTTTGGTGTGAGGATAGAGGGCTCACTTGTTTGGCCGGAGCATCAGAAGAGGCGACATCCAAGAGGGGCCACTTGACTGGACCATGAAGGAAGAGAATTTCAACCAGTAGAGATGTGGAGAGCCCCTTTCAAGCACGTAAAGGACTGTCTGTGGGAGAAAGCAGGCAGAGACTGGAACTGGCTAATCTAATACTTCAGGTTCTCTAGAATGTACATTGCACGAAGGGAAATGGTTTAAAATGAGGCTGGAAAGGAAGATTGCACAGAGTCAGACTTTAATGTCTGACAAAGAAGCTTAGCACAGTGCCTGGCACATAGGAGGTGTTTAATAAATGCTGATTGTATTGTATCGTATCCTATAGGCAAAGGGAGCCTCAGAAGGCAAGGAGTACATCCGTTTCAATTCAATAAACATTTTAACTTTTTAAAAACATCCCCCTTTGGTTTTTGTATGATTATAGATATGATTATAGTCGTGATTCTCTTTCTCTACACAGGGAGCTATCCCTTGTAACAAAAATATTAAAAGAAAGAATAAAAGCATTTTAGCAAAACTGACTAATGTATTAACCTGTCTGGCAGTGTAGGCAATATTTTGCACCCATAGTCTCCCACCTCTGTAATGAAAAAAGGGAAGTTCATTTTCCCAACTCTTTTTCAAGTGTGAGCTTGGTCCCTCTAAATCGGGGATGTTTAATTTA